CTTATAGTGATTTTACTACACATATAGTTCAATTTCTACGCAGAAAGTGCTGTCTTGAAGATCTCTTAATCACTGTAAAAATCATGTAATGCAGATAATAAGATAATAATAGTACTATATTCCTTATTATGTTTCCATCCATTGCGTGGCTAAAAAAACTGACACCATCTATAAACAGTATTATATTTTAAAAGGGTGATATGTGAAGAGGTTATTTGAATTTTTTGCAATATTAAATAATATTATTATTTTATATGAATATATACACACACACATACACACACACACACACACACATATATATATATATATATATATATATATATATATATATAGTGACTAAATATTTATCATAATGTAAAGTATATGTCGTAATCTGACTTTTACCATAACCTCATTATAGAAATTTATGCCTTTGATTCATCTCACAAGGTCTACATATATCAATGACTTACAACTTTGCATCTTATTGTGATTTAGATTTTATAATATGACTATAAAAATGCGACTTTAATCTCATGATATAAATAACACAACTTTTGATTTTGCATTGCATAATGTGATTGTTTAACTCATAAAACAACTGTATACCCATGTCTGTATCCAGGGGAGGTTCAGAAGACCCACTCCTCACTGACAAAGATGCAAAAATTGTCCCATACATTAACTCATTTGTCCTATTTTGACTGCTATGCCATCATAAACAGTGAAAATAACCCATCAAAAAAGGCTTTAAGACCAAGCAGAATCCTCTGTAACAACAGCTAATCAGTTTGACCAATGCAAACAAGTATTTTTTCTTGAGTCCAACATCCAGCTGCTATTAAACATACAATCTGACTTTCACTATTGACCTACTGTATTGTTGTTTAATAGAGAAAACATTTACAACCCACATAGCATCTCTGGCCTAGCTCTGGCCCACACAATCAGCTTTTGCTTGGCCCACAAATCGCAGTGAATTACGGTACATGACTGGACCAAGTCTGGCTTCCAAACAAGGGTCAAACATGGACCATAACTGGGCCAAGTCTCAACCAAGTTAAAAACCCATAAGTGAGCCTAAACTTTGCCAGATATGTTGGTGTGTCATGACTGCAATGAAATTGATAAACCCATGAATCATTGCGCTTTAAGCGTGCTACGGGCGTGCTTTTTCTCGAATCGACCAGATTGATCGATTTTTTTTTTTAATAAAAATGTATTTTAAATGTGGGTCAAGATCCCACAAACTCACATGGCCCATATATCAACTATTAACATCTGGGCCAAATGCTACATTTTACATCTGGCACAATTGTGTGCCGCTTTAAAAACGGTGCCACCTCTGCTAAAATAGGGCCATGTTTGGCCCACATGTTGTATACCAGTGCCAGATGAATGCCTGCGGTGCCAGATTTATGCCAAACCTGGGCCAGAATTCTTTGCTACCTGGGAAGTAACTATTACTCAAAGTCATGGACCTTACTCTTAAAACAAAAAATGACCAAGAAAAACGTGCGAAGCACCAAAAGTGGCCCATATTAAATTAATTTGAAAACTAACTTGGTTGCGTGTCACAGTGGTGCAGTGGGTAGCACGATCACCTCACAGCAAGAAGGTTGCTGGTTCGAGCCCAGGCTGAGTCAGTTGGTATTTCTGTGTGGAGTTTACATGTTCTCCCCGTGTTCGCGTGGGTTTCCTCTACAGTCATAAAACATGCACAATATGGAATTGAATAAGCTAAACTGCCCGTAGTGTATGTGTGTTAATGAGTGTGTATGGGTGTCTCCCAGTGTTGGAAGGGCATCAGCTGTATAAAACATATGCTGGATAAGTTAGTGGTTCATTCCGCTGTGGCGACCCCTGATGAATAAACAAACTAAGCCGAAGGAAAATGAACGAATGAATGAGAAACTAGCTTTTATTCTACTTATTCTCCAAAATTCTACTTATGAGAATGTCGCCGTTATTTTTAATAAAACTGTCTAGTGCACAAAAAGTCAACAATCAAGCAGATGTTATTTAAATTTAAAGGATATTATACAGTATTATGTGGATGACCCTGAAGTGCTATTTAAGGCCCACTGTGTCTCCTTTCCCAAAAAAAAAAAAAACATTGCCCTAAAGACAACACTATATTCTTCTAAGAATACACACAGTATGGTAAATGTTAGTATGGTAGTCGTTTGTGATATCTTAGATTTAGATTTACAAGGCTTGAAGTGACCTCTGACCTTCTACAGCTACAAACTACTCTGCTACATTTTAGACCAGACAAACCTTTTAAAAATGTGTAGAAAATAAGGCTGTTCATTTCTGAAGGTACAGAAGGAGATGGTGTATTCATAAACAAGCTGTTCAAGGTGGAAGAGCTTTATAGGATGAATATTTTGAGTGTGGCGTCTGTCTAATGTCAAGCTGACTCAGGGCTTGACTCAAACCCATTTCTGAAGTAGCATCAACACCTTAAGGCCTAAAACGACCCTTGCAGACAGGAAGTGTCAATCACACCGAGTTAGGACCTGAGTGCATGACGTGAACCTTGAAGCATAGGGGAATAACTATGCAATAGCCTATTAAATGATTGATTCTAACTTCAGGTTTTGTGAAGTACTTAAACTAAACCTAAATGCTTTTGTTAGACTATACATTTATGCTGATGGTCGATTAGAATGAAGCATTGCACAAAACCACACTTGCCGTTTCTACTTAAATATTTTCTGAACGTGCTTTTACTAATCTTCATATCATAAAGGATCCGCAAATTAAATAGTTTTCAAATTTTCAGATATCATTATCCTTTAACCCTTAAAAGACCTATTTCATATAATGCATAAAATGGTTTAATAACTTTTATAATAGTTTGCAACTTGTGAAATATCTCCTTTTTTTTACCTTTGACTATACACGAACATAATTGGATAAGTCTAAGTAGTCATAAAATTACAATAGTGAAATTGCAAATTTTTATACAATGGTAAGATTGAAAAGGCCTAAAATTCTAAAAGATGTTTACATAAAGCTATTGTTAATAGTCTTCAATAAATTAGTGTTATATAATTCACTGAAAAAAATATAAATATGAATCAATAAACCTCTTAAAGTTTGAGTTCACCCCCAAATACAAATATTCTGTTGTTAAAATATAGAACAACAAAAAAGATTTTGAACTAAAACCATGGTCTTTAATTTTGCAAGTCAGTACTTCTATCCACCTATTTTTATGTGCATTTTGGAACAGTGCATAATAAATGCGAAATGGAAATGACAAGATGTGCATACATTTTGAAATTGTGCATAAAAAAACTTACTGAGTAGCACAACTGAGTAGGATAAGCTTTCTATTTGATAAGAAAAAAAAGGTGCATGAACTATGATGGAAGCAGAATAAATTCCAGTATCCACATAAAGTGAGGTGATTTTGATATAACAGATCATGTGATTGGGGTGGATCAAGTCCCAGGGTTCAAGCCCCATCAATTGGCATTCCTGGTTAGGAGGCTTGATGGACAGAGGCCAGTGGGCAAATTTTTAAACCCCTACTCAGGTTGAGTGTTCCTTGTTGGCCTTACTAACACCACTTCCGGCAGCAACCTAGATTTCCAATGTGGTCTCCCATTCAGGTACTGAGGGGGCACAGCCCTGCTTAGCTCCAGTGGGTGAGAGGGGTCTGAAAGCAAACCTGGTGCAGGGCAATCTAAGCTGCATCCAATGCTTTTTAATAGGCTCACCTAACCCCATCCCTAACCCTAACCTTACAGTAACGTCATTTGCTCCATTTGAGTGCATTGTGTCTGACATTGCATCGCTGAGTGATGCAATCTCAGCTTGCATCATAAAGGCTGCATGCAAATACTATTGCAGTGGGTGACCATGTAAGAGTTGCAGAGAGATAGCTGCCGGCATAATATGTATTATTCTCATGTTTTTTTTTTCTTCTAAACCTTTAGGAAATGTTTTTGGTAAATCAAAAAGTGTGGTTGATGACCATCCGACAAGCTAGTCCAGCAAAAAATTGTGTTTAAAAAGTATTTAAACCTCATAATTCAATCGAAGATGAGGCTAATGTCTCAAAAAGGTCTATATATTTATGAAGAAAAGGAACCATCTCTTTCAACAGGCTGGCTACGGGTCTGAGAGTTGAACTGAAAACCAAAAGAAGGCCCCTTAAAAAGAATTAATTTAAGGTTTGTTTTGTGAAAACGAGACCCAAAACTGAAAACACCAGTGTGGTCAAATTCCTCTCACTCCCTTGTCTTCACGAACAAAAGATGGGTGTGATAAGTCTGTTATTTTTCTTCTTTTTGAAAACCTCACTCTCTCACTAGCCATATATAGACACAAGACTCCCTTTTTCTTCTGAGCGAGCGTGGGCAGAGAAAGACAGGGAGAGAGCACTCTAAAAATAAAACATCTGTTCCAGGAGCAGATCAGGTGGGAGGCAGGTTTAAAGAGCCACGAGGAGGAAGATGAGAAGGCAGAAAAGTTGAGGTATAAGCCGTGAGGAAAGTGATACTTTGATCCATTGGAGGAAAAAAGGGGAGAGACTGACAGGGAGAGAGAGAGAAGGGGGGGGGCTGGATGGCGTGTTAGCTGTGCCCCCTGCGCGAGTCTGTGGGTTTGCGTGCATGTGTGTTTGGTAAAAGCACAGGCAGACTTCAAGACAAACACAAGGACCAGCTTGAGGAATGATGAATGCATGGAGAGAGTCAGCCGAGAGCACAGCAAACCAGAGGAAATGAAGGCATAGAGAGTAGAGTGCAGGCACAGAGGGGCCCTGAAAATATCATGTGTCTTCAGTGCATGTGTGTGTGTGAGCGAGCTAGAGAGAGTGTGTTTGGTGTGCTTTCTAAAAGCATGATTGATGGGCGTACAGAAGTGAGTGAGCGGGGTTCTGTGAGAGACTTGAGGAAAAGAAGGATTAGATTGGAAAGACTGACTGTGTGTGATGGAAAAATTAAGCGATTAAAAAAAAAAAAAAAAAAGTTAAAATTATGAAGTCACACTGAGGAAATGATCACATTTTAGGAAGTTTTATTGTTTTTTTTAGTCGGTTTGTCAGCTGGACATTTAGAGGTGAGTTTTGCAGTAAACATACAGACAACTGTACAAAAAGCATTCTTGAATTCATTTATTTATAATTTGCTGACCGAAGAGATAATACTAGAAAAAAAGTTTCTAGTTTTATTTTTTAATAAAAACCAACATCATTGTTCATCATAGTATGATACATACAGCATATTAAATAGATCAAAAGTCAAGATATTTTGTAAAATAAATAAATTAATTAATAAAATGTTTCATAAGACTGCACAGAACTATTGTGCAGCGCAAATACTAATGCTAATAAATGTTTCTTGAAAAGGAAATCATAGCTTTCTAAAAGATCATATGAATAATACCATAGTTTTACCTTTTTTGATCAAACAAATGCCACATTGCTGTTCTAGCATTGCTTTAAATTTTTTTTATAACTGTTAGTGCAGGTTGATTTCTGCAAAAAAGTTTTTGATCATCACAGCCAGTAACAATAGTTAAACCCAGGGGCCTAGCAGACATTTTAAAAGTGTGGGGGGACAGCTGTATGAGATCATTAAGTTTACATGCATATAATTATTAATCACCTGGTCTGTCTCTAAAAAATGAAAGGAACATATACCCCCGTTCCCCCCAGTTGCTACGCCCCTGCTTAAACCAATTGTTGTTGGTTTAGGGTGGGATGCTCTGTTTGACCAGTGGTTTCCTGCTGCATAAAACAGTATAAATCCTTATAAGTTTAGTAATGGTTTTAATAGTTATAATGGGAATTGCATTGGTTTTAAAGAAACTGTTATGGTCCTTGCTGGTCTCGATTGGTAATTTGTTGCCTTCTAATGCTGGTATGATAAACTACTTAATAATAGAATATGTCCTAAAACACAGTAGAATGGTTTGTTATTTTTATAATGGTATTGGAAACAATTAGAGCTTCTAGGTAATTTTTTTCAGCAGGTTTGATGGGTACTAATTTGACAGCTCCTTAAACCTTTCAACAACTGCAAAATTCCACAGTTGCAAGCTTCATTTGGTCATGGAGGACTAAGAAAGCAAAAAAGAAATATGCTAGTTTATCTATATGGGCTTTGTGCATGGAAGCAGTTTTGAGTGTTTGAATCTTTAGTACCTGCAGACGATTAAAGTTTGACCATGTTGAATTGTATTTTTTATAATTTTTGCTCTGATGTTTGTGTGTGCTTGTAAACTTTTAACAATAGCCTTCACACTTGATTCCTGTTGCTAATATTCAATTAAATTCAATTTATGTTTAATTATGTCAATGTAGCTTGTGTCAACGCAGCTTAACATAGAAGTTCTAGTAAATTAAAACTGTGTCAGTCCAGTTTTCAGAGTCGAAGTTGAGTTTAGTTCAGGTCAGTGTGGTTTTATTTTCACCAAACACTGAAGAGCAAATCCACCGATGTGCAGCTCCAAAAGATCCCAAACAAGGCAAGCCAGTAGTGACAGTGGCGAGAAACAAAACTTCACCAATTGACGAAAGTAAAGGAAAAAAACCTTGAGAGAACCAAGCTCAATTGGGCACGACCATTTCTCCTCTGGCCAAACTTCTTGTGTAGAGCTGCATTCTGGGTTCCAAAGGCTAGAGAACGCTGGACGTCCATCGTGGAGAAGCTGCAGGTGTGAGCAGGTCACCGGCGGGTGTTCAGGCTGGCCCACAGAATCAATGCGAAAACTTGTCTGTCGCTGAGTCTTTCAGGAATAAGTCTCATGCTCTCCGCTCCTACGTGACTGCCACAGCATCTGCTCAGGATATGGCCTGGTCCAGGATTATGGATACCTTAGCATCATTTCTCCAAAGGTCTTGGATTACATCACCATAAGTACTATAATAAAGTTGTACATCAAATGGACCAAGCTCAAATAAGGCTGATACTGAGAAGACTAGTTTGCTAGTCTGTCTAGAGGCCTGGTTTAGGAGAGGTTTTGCCTACTTTTTAAGCCAGTCTATTTCATAGATGAGTTGCCTGAGACCATCTTAAACAGAAAACCTTTTTATGAACCAACATACCACTCATGGTTTAATGATAATCCTTCAGCTACTAGAGTCTGCAGAATGATTCATTTGATTAACGTCAACTCATCTGACCAGCTATTTCCTGGAAGATATTGGTACAATAAAACTAAACAAAATCAAATGATGTTTGATTGCTGTCCATGCGGAGCCATTTGCTTTCCAAGCCTTAATGAATGACAGAAAAAAAAGAGTTGAAAACAGACATTGCACAAGACAATAAAGAGGAAAGGGGGATCATCAGACCTTTTGGATGTCACACACACACACAAAAAGTCTTTCTGGTGCTCTTTCCCTCTTGATCTGTCTGTCTCCCTCTCTTCAGAGCCTCTCGTGACAGGAGTTTCCTGGAATAAAGGAGTCCATCTGCTTTCCATTCAGCCACATAATGCGTTTCAGGAGACTACATTACCCCCCAACACACACGCACACACACAACACAACACAGAGTGCTCATTCACCCCTTTACCCAGAACTTCACACTTACTTGTTAATGCAACTGCACAGTGTCCACGTCACAGCACTATCCAAATAACAGAAGCCAAATTTCCCATTACAAAACAGAAGGCCCATTTTTTTTTTTTGGTGATGACACCACAGTTTGGACAGATTGGGATCAAACCTAAACAACTGAAATGTGTTGTAATTACAAATTAAGCAGCTCTGATAGGCTGTGTCTTGTTTATAGGTTCAAACTGGGGATTTTGGCGTTTGTTTTGCTTTACGATTTGAGACAATTACTTCTGATCCACATCGCAGATTTGTTTCCATTTCCTGAAATGCCTACTTCTCATGTGCAGCGATCCAGACACAGTGGGCGGGGATTATTCTGGGCGTGTGCGCCATGAGCCAATCGGTTTCCGCGGTCGAACGCATGGGGTGACTCGCCCCGCCCCTCCACTCACGCTACTGAAAGAGTCTGCATGCTCATGTCCCGCAGAATCAGAAACGCAACAGAAGCCGATAAGACGCGTTTGTTTTATCAGCTCCCCGTTTGAAGGCACCCGTGGGATGAAACTATTTTATCAGCACTTTTTTGAAGTCGGAGACGTATAAGGAGATAACCCGCGATATTTGTCAGCCGAAATTGAGGAGTTTGTTTTTCATGGATCAGCCCGTTTCATGCGACTAGACATCCTCCATCTGTCCGATCTGCACGACAGCTCCGGGACGGCGGTGGACATCACTGGACGTTTACGGATAAAGACTGGACGACACGCTGTGATTTGAATGCCTTTGCCGGGACTTTGCTGGCTTGTGTGCTGCAGACAAGGCTTCAGTTTGCTGGCTCGGGATCATGGGGAGAAAGAAGAGGAAGAGTCTTTCGAGTTACGCAATCAGGACGAACACACACACACGGGACGGGTATGTAACGTTAGACAAAACTAAAACTGAGGAGCATAACCTAGTCTACTAACCACCTGGGCTCATGTTATGGTCCATTTATGGAGTTGAAACTAAGTGATTTGTTTTGTTGATGCTTGTGTTTATCTTTTTAAATTCTCAGTTAACTTGAGTCTTACCTGTTAGTAATGATCCCAAAAGTATTGATCATTCTTTGAGGATGTGTGGTCTCAGGTATTCACTTCAAACTAGCATATGTTGCTAGTAGTTGCTGATACATACTCCATTCACCTGGTCTTACATGTATGTGGCTCTGATTTACTAATAATTAGTTACTAGGCACTTCCTATTCATGAAACAATAGTCTCTATCATCAGTGTCAGTAGCCAACAAAATTTTACTCTGTGAAACACAAAAAGTTAAGGTAACTCAAACCATTTGAGGAAACCGATTACAACAAACCATTTAAGTTTAAAAACGAATCTAAATGAGTAGTGTGAACTTAATCCATTTGAGTAAACGAAGCAGTAAAACCCAATAAATGAAGAGAACTCAAACCAACTGAGTACTGTAAAACCCAATGAGTTAAGGCAAGTCAAACCGTTTGAGCAAACCGATTGAAACAAACCATTTAAGTTCAAAAATCCTAATGAGTACTGTGAACTTACTCCATTTAAGTTGAATTAATAAGGTATTTAATTAACTCGTTACTAGGTATGGGACGATAACTGGTTTCAAGGTATACTGCAGTTTGGAAAAGTCAATGTTTTAAAACTGACAAAATGTTATTTTATACTGTTCCTAAGGTATGTGTAAAATTAGATGTTTTGTTGTTTTTACATCTTTTACACAACAATTTTATTTAGTTTTTTAGGGCAACAGTACCTCCAACAGAAAAGGAACATCCACATCAAGCTATTGGTCCAAATGTTCTTAAAATACAATTGAACACAATACAATTTTGTTTTCAATGGGGCAAAAGTTTTTTTTTTTCTTTCCCCCAGACATTTTAAAAGAATCTATTTTGGAGCAGTAATCACAATACCGTGAAACCGTAATATTTTTTTTCTAAGTTTATCATACCATCAGAATCTTTTACCGGCCCATGCCTACTCCTTACCTTCAACACTGAGTTCAAAGCTCTTTTCAAATGAGTAGAATTAACTTTCAGTAAATTTTGAGTTAACTACAGTCATTTCATTGATAAAGTTGATTGTTGGGTTTTACAGTGTAGTTCTTCTTCATACAATTCTCATTTCCACAATTGTTGTTTTATGTGTTATATGTATGTTATGATCAGTGTATCGTGTGGTTTTATTCAGCTCTAATACAAGAAATGATTAGCATTAAGAGAATCAGGGCCTGCAGTATGTAAAGAGTTGGGTGAAGGTAAAGTAATTTATGTTTGGATATTCAGACATTTTTCTTAATATTACAATTTCAGAACAGTGTGCTTTGCAAATTCTAAATAGGGAAATCAAAATAGCAGCAAATGACTATGTAATGTAATGTAATGTGTATTTATATAGCGCATTTATTGTGTATGGCCATACATCTATCAGAGTACAACATTGTTCACACTCAATTAGATAATGTCAATGTTGTTCTGAAGTCATACTCGCATGCTAATTCAGGCATTTAATTAAATTTAAAACCAACTTTAGCTCTAAAGAGTAAGTGCCAGTGGTTAATTGAATAGCTACTAGTATTAGTGATAGTGAAATCGGTAGGGATACTACTATTCACTATTAGATGATTTACAGCTTTATTAAAATAGTATTGTATTAGTTTTTTCATCTTACGTTTATGTGTAATGTTTGTGTGATAGTAAAAATAATGACTAATAGTAAAATATAAGGGGCTACGTAAATGGAGAAGTGCTAGTAGTTTATTAAATTGTCGCTAGTTACTGTTGGTGTAAGTGTGAGGTTCTTATGAAGTACTAAGTGATGTTTATTTAAACTAATTTCGATAGGGTCACATGGTTGTGATTGTTTGCAGCCGGTCCCACGTTATTCAGTTTCATTATTCAATCCATAGACATGCTCCTATAGTAAGTAGTTATTTCTTAAGAGCAATCTTTATCTGTTCATAGCAACTAAAACAGTCGAGTTCTCGAGATCTACATGAGCTCAAACTCCCCTCTCGCCTTGCAAACGGGACGGAGCCCGGGGCTCGAGAATCTTATGAGCTCAGGGCTCTCTCCCGGGACAGCATGCCAAACAAGCTTTATAATCAATCATCAGCTGAGTGTGAACTCTTGAATGTTTCTTTAATGAAATCAGAGGGGATGCTTGTAGTTACTATTGGATTACTCTCCATCAATCATTCTGTGTATTATGGACTAAAAGTTAATTTTAATAAGGATTTGTGTACATCTTATTTATGACAGACATGTATTGAAGTATTTTGGAAGAACTTATTTGTGCAAACGTATTCATTTCTGGAATTTAAGTGGTGCAAATGCAGTGTGTGATTAGAACATTGAGGGATTCCAGCAAAACTAGTTTTACTGGTCATATTTTGAGAATTAAATGCAAGCACCGAGGCTTTGCATGCAATAATATCTTTCATAGAGTATGTTCAGTGTGTGTGGTTTTGATGGCAACTCTTATTACAGTGACTACTGAATGACACAAAATGTTACAGATCCTTTGTCAGTTAGACAACTGTACATCCAATGTATTCCACTGCTGTCACACACAAGAGCTTATTGTTGAGCTCTTACATGATTAGGCCATGTGCGTTAAAAGGGAAGGTACAAATCATGGTGATGAACAGAGATGAAGGCTTCCTGTGAACTGTAATGAACAGTGAAGGGCATTCAGCTGAGCAAGCACTCAGGTTCCCCATCTATTTTACGCCTCTGTGCAACTGAACACATCCGCATGATCAAATATTTAATAATGGCTCCTCTGTCAGTAAAATCTCTGGTATTGATCCCCTCTTGTACACTAAATGAGTTTTTCAACAGCCAGCGAGCCTTTCTCACACTCACACAAAGGCTGTTTTGAGGCAAATTAAAGCAGAAATATTTCCATCTCACACTCTGTAGATCCACTGTACTTCTTGGGATGGCTGATCGCCTACAACTGAAAATATTCCACACTCTATTATGACCCAGCACCCACATGCAAGGCTTACCTCAAGTGTACTGTCTACAGTCTGTTTCAGTCCTCTGATAGCTGGGTGTGACGAGATATTGACATGTCTGGACATACATACATACACTTTATGAGACTCCCGCTGCTTTTCTAATCAGGCCCATATTGTGAAACCGCGCCCCACACACACTGCACTGGGACAATCAATAAGAAATAGCCTGAGGGATCTTTTGGACCAATCTCTTATGGACTGACCTCTTATGTCTCCCCACTCGCTTTATCCCTACTTCATCCATCCTCTTCAGACTAATCGCCCTGAAATCAATAATCTTCATATTTCCTTGGTGAAGTCTTATGCTATTAACCCATTTATGGCTCTGTGAAGACTTTCTGTGTGTGTGTGTGTGCTTGTGTCAGAGTATTGGGGGTAGAGCATGGGAGGTTAATAGGTCAATGCATCCCCCCTTCTCCCCAGGGTCATCATATAACTGTTTTTTAACAGGAAGCAGAAGCACCAGTGTTAAACTATAGTGATGATAAGTGAGAACAGACATAACCAAAGGCGGAAAAGGGTATTGATGAAGTTTTAAAGAGCCCCTATTATACGTTAAAAAGGGTCATATTTTGATTTTAAGCGTCTCCAATAACAGGCTGATATGCATGGAAGGTCAAAAACACTTTTATTGTCTTATAGTGTGCATTTATTTTTACCTAATTATTCCAGCGACTACCATATGAATCGTTCAGTGATTCATTTGTTCCAAAACACCTCCTTAGCGCGAAGCTGATCTGCGCTGATTGGACCAATGACAGCGTGTTGCAATTGGACGACAGTGTTCAGCGCGAGACAGAGTGAAATGTCCTGCGCGACTTATCAAAGATATTGAAGTAATCAGAGTGCATAGTGTATGTGTGAGCATACTGTACCTGCCAACACTCCTGTTGTTCCCTGGAGTTTTCCCTTATTTCAGACCCATCTCCAGCCACCCACCCATTTTGTTCTTTATCCCGGAAACACTAACTTTCTCTCACACTTCTAGTAATATCCAGTTGAGCACAGCGTCTTCATAACTCATGACTTCAGGATCTGTTTGTCTTCCTTTTTTCTTTGCTGCTGTGTTTGTGGGCGGGACCGCAGGTTTCAATTTTCCTGGGTTTGCGCGTGCAATGATTGGGCGGGGCTTATGTTTCGTATCAATTTCACGCCAAAACGGCTAATTATTCGTTATCAAGCTGATTCATTTGAAGCACTATGAGTCGACTTTTTTATAGATGAATCAATAGTTTTAAACACTGTCTACTTTCAGATTTAAGCCTTAGCTGGATATTTCACTTCACTTAAAGCTGTTACACACTACATGGAAGCTCATTTTCAAAAACCCATAATAGGGGCTCTTTAAAGTCTGGTGGTACAGACCAAATTTAGATATGTGACACAAGCTATGTTTCTATCCACCTATTTTTATGCACATTTTGGATATGCGCAAAAAAAAAATCGGCTGATGGAAACACCAAGATGAGTATACATTTTGAAAATGTGCAAAAAAAAACAAATGCACATAAATGAATAGGATAAACTTTTTATTCGATAAGAAAAAAATGCACATAATTTACGATGAAAATGCTTTTACAGAACAAATTCCAGTATACGCTTTAAAAAATTCATGTGATTTTGTTAAAAGAGATCATGTGCTCATAAAAATATGTGTGAAAGGACAAACCAGCAGGCTGAGCACACTGTAAAATATCTGAAATGTTGTTTTGGTCATTCTAAAACACTTTAACCATTTCAGTATTAGTGTTATTATATTATTAACTATTAATATTATTAACAATCTTTTAAACGCCACCACATGTTCATTGCGCATCGGCAAACTACAGTCTTCTGAGGCTCAAGTCATTTGTTAAATGAAGAAA